CCACCCCTTGGGGCCTATAGACTAGTTGGCTATCCTATAAGAATTCATGAAGTTACTCGACTATCCAGGTAACTAATACTTAAGGGTATGTCTACACTACCCTCCTAATTCGAACTAGCGGGGTAATGTAGGCATACCGCACTTGCAAATGAAGCCCGGGATTTGAATTTCCCGGGCTTCATTTGCATAAGCCGGGCGCTGCCATTTTTAAATCCTGGCTGGTTGGAACCCCGTGCCGCGCAGCTACACACGGCACGAACTAGGTAGTTCGGACTAGGCTTCCTAGTTCGAACTACCGTTACTCCTCGTGGAGTACCAAATATTTAAGTCTTTAAAGTTCTTTAAAATGAAAACAAAACAGCCTGAATTAAAAAAAATAAAATGTTGAAAAGAACAAGCAATAGAGATAAAAAGAGAATGCAGGAAGAAGACCATCACCAAGAATGGAGGCTATCCTATTCATTGCACCCAATATAGCATGTATGGTTATCTTCCCTATATGCAAAAGCGACAAGGAGTCCTGTGGCACCTTATAGACTAACAGATGTATTGGAGCATAAGCTTTCGTGGGCAAAGACCCACTTCATCAGATGCAGGCCCGAATAAGACTAGAGATAACGAGGTAAATTCAGTCAGGGAGGGTAAGGCCCACTTCTAGCAGTTGATGTGGAGGTGTGAACACCAAGAGAGGAGAAACTGCTTTTGTACTTTCAAAGCCATCGTTTAATCCTAAACTGATGGTGTCAAATTTGCAGATGAATTGTAGCTCAGCAGTTTCTCTTTGAAGTCTGGTCTTGAAGTTTTTTTGCTGCAGGATGGCTACCTTTAAATCTGCTACTGTGTGTCCAGGGAGATTGAAGTGTTCTCCTACAGGTTTTTGTATATTGCCATTCCTAATACCTGATTTGTGTCCATTTATTCTTTTACGTAGGGACTGTCCAGTTTGGCCGATGTATATAGCAGAGGGGCATTGCTGGCATACAATGGCGTATATTATATTGGTAGATGTGCAGGTGAATGTACCAGTGATGGCGTGGTTAGATCCTGTGATGGTGGTGTTGGTGTAGATAGGTGGGAAGAGTTGGCACCAAGATTTGTTGCATGGATTTGTTCCTGAGTTAGAGTTACTGTGGTGCAGTGTATAGTTGCTGGTGAGAATTTGCTTTAGGTTGGTGGGTTGTCTGTGGGCAAGGACTGGCCTGCCTCCCAAGGCCTGTGAAAGTGAGGGATCATTGTCCAGGATGGGTTGGAGAGGTTTTAGCTGAAGACTGTAGGTGATGGCCAGTGGTGTTCTGTTGGTTTCTTTCTTGGGCTTGTCTTGTAGTAGGAGGCTTCTGGGTACATGTCTGGTTCTGTTAATCTGTTTCTTCCCTTCCTCGTGCAGGTATTGTAGTTTCAAGAATGCTTGGTGAAGATCTTGTAGGTGTTGGTCTCTGTCTGAGGGGTTGGAGAAGATGCGGTTGTACCTTAGTGCTTGGCTGTAGACAATGGATTGTGTGGTGAGCCAGGATGGAAGCTGGAGGCATGAAGGTAGGCACAGCCAGGTCGGTAGGTTTCCGGTATAGAGTGGTGTTTATGTGACCATCACTTATTTGCACCGTGGTGTCCAGGAAGTGGATCGCTTGTGTAAATTAATGGAGATTGCCTATCTTCTAGAACTGGAAGGTATCTTGAAAGGCCATTGAGGCCAGTCCCCTGCCTTCACAGCAGGACCAAGTACCATCCCTGACAAATTTTTGCCCCAAATGGCCTCATAGAGTCATAGAGCTGGAAGAGACCTCAGAAGGTCATCAAATCCAGCCTCCTGCTCTAGGCAGGACCAATCCCTTGAACCTCCTGAAGGATTGAGCTCACAACCCTGGGTTTAACAGGCCAATACTCAAACCACTCAGCTATCCCTCCCACCAGTGTAGACTGGTCCAGGCTAAGGTTGATGGTGAGGTGGAAGCTGTTGATGGTGATGTGGAATTCTTCGAGCCTCCTTCCCATGGGTCCAGATGATGAAGATGTCATCAATGTAGTGTAGGTAGAGAAGGAGTGTTAGTGGATGAGAGCTAAGGAAGTGTTGTTCCAGGTCAGCCATAAAAATGTTGGCATATTGTGGGGCCATACGGGTGCCCATAGCAGTGCCACTGGTACGGAGGTATATAATGTCACTGAATCTGAAATAGTTGTGTGTGAGGATAAAGTCACAGAGCTCAGCCACCAGTTGTGCTGTGGCATCATCAGGGATACTGTTCCTGACAGCTTGTATTCCATCTATGTGTGGGATATTTGTGTAGAGAGAGCCTCTACATCCATGGTGGCTAGGATGGTGTTTTCTGAAAGATCACCAATGCATTGTAGTTTTCTCAGGAAATCAGTGATAGCTGGGAGTACTGGTGGTATAGGATCTGAGTAGAGAGTCCACATATCCAGACAGTCCTTCAGTGAGAGTGCCAATGCCCGAGATGATGGGGCATCCAGGATTTCCAGGTTTGTGGATCTTTGGTAGTAGATAGAACAACCCTGGTCTGGGTTCTAAGAGTGTGTTGATTTGTTCCTGTGCTTGTGTAGGGAGTGTCCTGAGCAGATGGTATAGTTTCTTAGTGCATTCCTTAGTAGGCTTTGAGGAAAGTGGCCTATAGAATTTGGTATTGGAGAGTTGTCTGGCAGCCTCTTTTTGGAAGTCATACCTGTTCATGATGACAACAGCACTCTTTGATTATAATGTCAGAGTTGTTTCTGAGGCTGTGGATGGCATTGCGTTCTTCACGCAGGGCTGGACAGAGGCATGGGCAAGCCAGGCAGCTGCCCAGGGCGCCCCCCCACGGGGGGGGTGCCTGATGGCAGCTGTAAGGGGTGCGTGGCTTCTCTTACAGCTGCCATCAGGAGCTGCGCACCTGGCTCCCACGGTGCCAGCCCCACAGCATCGGACAACAGCACCCTTGCCCCTATGGCTGCGGGGCCATACATGGCCCAGCGTGTGCGCTAGCAGCGCTGGCCGGGCTGGGCTGGGCAGCGCATGCGCCATGCGCCCCATGGGTGAGCCCCGGGCTGTGCGCCAGGGGCCATGGCTGGTGCACGCATGCGCCATGTGCCCCAAGGGCAGGTTCCGGACTGTGCGCCAGCGGCTGTGGCCGGCGCCCCAGGGGCAGCGCCACACACCTGGGCCCAGGGTGCCAAAGGGGCTCGGGCCGGCCGTGTCTGCACAACTGAGATTATGAGGCAAGCGATGCTGTTTTTCCACAATTTCTGCCTGTGCACGTCAGCAGAAGTGCAAGTGCAGGTGCAAGAAGCTCCTGGCCCTCAGGGACCTTCTATGGGCTTTGAAGACCATGGTGGCTGAATTGGAGGAGCTAATGAAGGCGGAGAGGTACATTGATGAGACTTTCCAGGACACACTAGAAGAGTCCCATCCCTGGTCACACAGCCTTTGTGCTCTTGAGGACGTTTCAGAGGAGAAATGTTAACACTCAAGAAAGAGCTCTTGGAGTATTGGGGATAGCTCTTCGAAAACACCCACTCCATAGGTGCTGCTAAGGAAACTCTCAGACAATCTGTGCACTTTCGGTGCGCACCTAAGTGGAAGGGATGTGAGCAAGCACTGGAAGAAGAACTGGTGTAACTCCGCCCTGTAGGATTGTGCTACTGCTGGCAGCAATATCTTACAGGAGCCCTCCCTGCTAGCCTACCAATCGGAAAGCGCTCCGGGAAGCCAGTTCCTAGAAGGGAGCAGCCTTCTCCAGGCCAGAGCCGGGACAGTCACCGTGACGAGGCATTTCACGGCCGCGGTGCCTGCAGGCGGGACCCTGGTCTGAGAGTCGGGGGCTTGGGAACGCGGCCGGTGTAAAGTCAAAAAGTGAGCGAGTCCCCAGAGTCACCGTGACGAGGCATTTCACGGCCGCGGTGCCTGCAGGCGGGACCCTGGTCTGAGAGTCGGGGGCTTGGGAACGCGGCCGGTGTAAAGTCAAAAAGTGAGCGAGTCCCCAGGGGAGAGCGCGGGGCCATCCCGGGGGCTGGACCTGCCCCGGCGCCGCCCCCCGCAGACCCCAGGCAGA